GAGCGTCGCGATGCAGCTGGAGCCCTCATTTCATAGATTACTGTCAAACACTGTCAATGCACACACACACACACACACACACACACACACACACACACACACACACACACACACACACACACACACACACACACACACACACACACACACACACACACACAGACCAATCACAGCATGCATATGTCAGTGGCTGCATTATGTGTCAACAGAGAGAGAGCGCCTGGGGGTTTGTAAACATCCCACTCAACTGATCTGTGACTCATTTCACACACACACACACACACACACACACACACACACACACACACACACACACACACACACACACACATACACTGAATGCATACAACTGGCATGAATAAACAACAACAGCATCCTGAATATCCTGAATCTCTTTCCTGCTTGTATGAAATTACTGTGTGTGTTTAACGTCCCTGTGTGTGTGTGTGTGTGTGTGTGTGTGTGTGTGTGTGTGTGTGTGTGTGTGTGTGTGTGTGTGGGTGATTCATTATCAAGCAGAGGATAATGTGCTCAATATAGCTCTAACACACAGAGATTGAAGTGGAGCTCCTGTGTTTGATTCCCTCTCTGTCTCTCTCGCTTTAATTCATCCAGCGAACAGGAAGTGGCTCTCAGTGGGAGGTTTCTGAATAGAGACACCTGCTGCAGGTGATGCAGGCCCAGATTCACATCAGCGGGAGGCGATGAAATCAAGTCGGCTCCGTTTCGGTAGCACTTCACGGGACGCAAAGTGCTTCAGAGAACATCGAAGAGCGGAAACAACAGAGAAAAAGATGCAGACAGCCACAGGCTCGATCTCTATTTGTGCACAAATGAAGAGGTCAGACACAGTTGAAAGCCTTTTAAGTTGTTTCCTAAAGCCGTTAATAGACTGAGATAATCGAATGGAAAGAGGAAGGGAGTCCTGATGAGTCCTGACGAAGTCCTGAAGCTGTGGGGGGGCAACATTCAGGGGTGGACAGTGAGCATGTTTACTGGACTTTTTGAGGCACTTGGATCTGCATCTTCCAAATTCATAACTCGTTGTATGTAAAAGGGAGAATTTATTCATCTTTATGGAGAGTTTTGGTCATTAAGAGACTCGTTATCATATATCCTGGTCTCTTTCTCTGGCAGGAGGGCCATAAAGTTTCAGACAAAGTGCTCCAGGTGGACGTTTAAACGTACGACGAGGGAGATTTTAACTGGTAATGAAGCAGTTTAACGCCGATGCCTCTGTGTCACCTACATAAACTAACAGGACCATCAGGATTAACACTGGATATATTCACTCATTCTTAATGTCTGCCACCAGGTCAGATTCCCCTTGAAATCAATGAAACAAGGCGATGAACTACCGCCATTGTCCACAGAGGGCGCCAGAATCAACACAAAAGTGAAAGAAAGTTTAAATTGAAGACTGTATTTCTTATTCTCTTATTAGAAAGTATCTAAACCCAGTTGATGACATTATTTATACTGCTTTATTACTCTTACTTCCACGAGGTTGTTCTCTCTGTGCTGTTTGTTGGTTCGTCTGTCAGCAGGATTACAGGCCGGATATTCATGAATCCTGGTGGAAGGATGTGTTATTACATTGCAGATAGACAGTAACATGTGTTTGTGAACAGATTGGAGGAGAGAAATAGTCAACAACAGAATCTGGATCCATATCTGATCAGCACTGTTTGACAGTTTGATCTGAGTTTAGTGCGTTGAGCTGGACGGACTCACTGAGAATGAGCTGTCAATCACAAGGTAGCCCCGCCCTAAAGCATACCCTGCTTTATGGTCTGTTTTACTCTAAATGGGACCATCAGTTACTAAATGAACATCATGCTGTATGGAAGAAGACTGAAACTAGAGACTGAGACCAGAAACTCATCAGGAAACTGTTTACTGAGCTCATAAATCAACTGAGAAGTCGACTCATTTCTCCATAAGACTGAATGGTAACGGCGCCGCCCCCTGCTGGCTGTTACAGAGACTGCAGGTTTAATACCCTTCCTGTAAGCTCTGTCCGTTATATAAACTGTGGACGGTCGTAACACTGGTGTCTGCGGCAGAATGAGCTGAATTCGTGGATGATGTGAGTGACTAAACATACAACAAAAGATTACAGCCCCCTCAAACATCACTGAGGAAATAAAACACCTTGGCGACGGTCCACGTTCTAGTTTTGCTTCTGCATTATCTGCAGTCACTCAGCTTCATTATCTGCAGTCACTCAGCTTCATTATCTGCAGTCACTCAGCTTCATTATCTGCAGTCACTCAGCTTCATTATCTGCAGTTACAACTGTTCTCACAGAAGGTTTCGACAGATAAGTCTCATTACAGTGATTGTGTTGTTTGTATGGACCCAAATAAAAAGAGAATTTCAAATCAAAAAACTGTGTGATCGTCCCTCTTTGTGTTTCTGTGTTAAAACCCCATCAGGTCATTAGTCGGAGGAACTATAACATTTAAAACATCCCACAGCTCCGCGGTTGAAAAGCTTTTTCTTGTCTTCTTTTCTCTGAACAAATGATCAGAGCTTCAAGGTCGACTTGTAGCGGAGAGAGAGAGAGGAGTCTCTGAAAGACGCACTGCCTCTGCACAATCTGCCTCTTCATTTAAAGCCTTTAAAGAGTGAATTAAGCTCCCGGATACTTTGGAAATGTAGAAAAACGAAGATGATAAGAAACAAATCGTGTCAGCATTCATTTGGCAACTGCATAAGACAGCTTCATTTTTATGTGCTGTCTGTGTTCCTGCTGTTTCTTCATTAATCAGTTCATCCTTTTGTCCATAAAATATCAGAAAGTAGGAATAAAACGGGATTCACAGCTTCCCAGAGTGCGCCTTAACATATGCAAATGTCTCTTTTGCTGCGACTGACAGTCCAAAACAAAAACATATTCAGTTTATTATCATGGAAAACACAACGAAACAAAAGGCAGCAGCAGATATGAACGTCTGAGGAGCTCGAAGGAGGAAAGTTCTGGTAACTTCTGCATGAATAACGACTGAAACCATCACTCAGTTATTCAAAGTGATTAATAACTCTAGGCGGGTTGAGAGTGTTTCTATAGGGTTAACTCACAATACACTGCAGTATTTATGTGTATTAAACTCGTATTGATATCAAATGTGGTTTGTTTGATCTCTTTCTTTTATTATAAAAGACATTTTTCAGAATCAGAATCAGTTTTTTGCATAAATGTCAGAAATAAATACAGTAAATTAGAAGAAAAACCTGCAAAAATTCAAAAATCTTAATCTAAAATAAAACTTTATTGATCCCACATTTGCTCCAGATACATGAAATACAGATTATATGTATATATAGCTACTATAAACACCTTTTATATATACACAGAGTATAATAAATAAATAAATAATTATAATGTTGTCTTGAAGGATGGATGAAGATTACAGCAGGAGGATAAAAATAAATATAATTACACAGGACAAAATGATAGAGTGTAATTTAATATAAAAACATATTCTGGTCAACTCATTTTGTTTTTCTATCGGCATCATCATCATCATTATTATTAATATTATTATTTGATTTATTTCCTTTCCCTTGTTAGTTCTGACTTTAGTACTTTATGTACTAATGTAATGAAACATATCTGCTTAAAGATGTTTGTTAAAAATGAGAATGTAGATATATATTCATACATATATGTTATATCTGTTCAGATTACTATACTGTGTACTTCTTAAAATAAACGTATATATGTAAATATATAAGTAAGTATACATTATGTTATTGGAGAAAAGACACAGACGTGATAACTGAATTAAAGGAATTACATAAAGTGATTAAATTAAGAATCTTAACTAAATCAACACTAATTTATGGGAAATACTCAAATACAGAATAAAAGATTTTAAAATGTTTAAAAGAAATAAGAATTTTTTTAATAAATCAATATATTAGTTTGAAGCAGATGAAACAAAGATCAATTATAAACTTGAAAACACAAATTAGACACCCTTACTATTGATTAATTATATAATATGTATAAAAGATTAAATAACAGATATTAAATCTGGAAAAAAGCAAGTTAATTAAATTCATAAAAAAACAAACATATTGATGTTTTCTGAGAGAAATTATTAGATTATTAGAAATGATTAGATTATTAGAAATTATTAGATTATTAGATTATTAGAAATTATTAGATTATTAGAAGTTATTAGATTATTAGAAATTATAAGATTATTAGAAGTTATTAGATTATTAGATTATTATAAATTATTAGATTATTATAAATTATTAGATTATTAGAAGTTATTAGATTATTAGATTATTATAAATTATGAGATTATTATAAATTATTAGATTATTATAAATTATTAGATTATTAGAAATTATTACATTATTAGATTATTAGAAGTTATTAGATTATTAGATTATGAAATTATTAGTATATATGTATATATATATATTTATAAATTATTAGATTATTAGATTGTTAGAAATTATTAGATTATTAGATTATTAGTATATATGTATATATGTATATATATATTTATAAATTATTAGATTATTAGATTATTAGATTATTAGTATATATGTATATATTAGTTATAAATTATTAGATTATTAGATTATTAGATTATTAGTATATATGTATATATGTATATATTAGTTATAAGTTATTAGATTATTAGATTATTAGTATATATGTATATATGTATATATAAGTTATTAGATTATTAGATTATTAGTATATATGTATATATGTATATATTAGTTATAAATTATTAGATTATTAGATTATTAGATTATTAGTATATATGTATATATTAGTTATAAATTATTAGACTCATATAAAAAAGACATTTACAGTAAAAATATTATTATAATTAAAATAAAATGCATCATAAATGTTATATCACAGTTACATTGAATAAATTAATGCATGTTATCGATTAGCTCTGTGTCACCGTGAGAAAAAAAAGCCTGCTCACACTCTGACCTTTGACCCCGCCCGCCGCGTCCCTCCCCGCTAACCCCGCCCCTCTGCAGACACAGAACGGGAGCTCCATTCAAACAAACCGAACTCCGCGCCCCGGGGATGCGACAGTCGCTGTAGGAAGAGAGACAGACAACCACAGACACACAGTGCACCCCCCGAGCTCCGGACAGACAGGGCAGACAGACAGGGCCGACAGACAGACAGCCGGAGACACAGACAGACACACCGAGCGCAGTCTGCTAGCAGGAGGCTAACAGCTAACAGCTAACAGCGACATGGCGAGCGCCTCGTACCACATCTCCAACCTGCTGGAGAAGATGACCTCCAGCGACAAGGACTTCAGGTAACACCGCCCCCCCCCTCACCCCCTCACCTCACCTCACCCCCCAGCTGACGGTACAACGCTCCAACGGCTCCTTCTGCACGTGTGACAGCGGCTAACGGCGGCTAACGGCGGCTAACGGCGGGCCGCTAGCTGTTAGCCGCCGTTAGCCGCTGTTAGCCGCTAGCTGCTAGCTCTGCCACCTGTCTGATCATCGTCACACTGCTAGTTAGCTCGCTAGTGCTAGTTAGCGTTTTGATTTGACAGAGCGGAGGGGGGAGGGGAGGGGGGGGGTTAACTAGTAGCTGTTCTGTGAGCTGCTGCCCCCCCCCCGCTCCCTCCGCCCCCCCCCACCAGGAGCTAACCACCGCCTGTTAGCTTGTCTGCTAGCGTGATGTCAGCTAGCTCTTTCTGAAGTTAGCACGTCGGCTAATTCCTGCAAACAGTTGATTGTGTGTGTGTGTGTGTGTGTGTGTGTGTGTGTGTGTGAACAATAACAACATGTAAACACTGGAGACCGTCACTGCTGATCAGTGTGTGTGTGTGTGAGGGGGTAATCGATCAGTCTGATCAACACAAACAAACAAACCTGTAAATGTGTTTGTTTGTTTGTTTGTTTGTTTGTTTGTGTGGAAAACGTCACGTCATGGTCTGTTGTTGGACGATGATAAATAATAATAATAAATAATAATAAGAGCAATAATGGAGAGTTATTGATCCTCCAGCTGAATGGATCCATTGATCGGGTTCAGTCATCAATAACTTCTTCTTCAGTTTAATATCACTGCTGTCGTTGGTGATCAGACAGAATCAATGTCATTGACATTTGATAGATCCATTGATTACCGGAGTAATCAATCATCAGATGGATGTCCCTGCAGTAACTCATATTGTCTGTATTATTGATTCCTTATTGATTCCCTGATTAGTTTGTAATGTGGATTAAAGTCGGTTAGGAAGCGTCGGATTACGTGCAGGGCTCCTACGCATCCTGGAAAACCTGGAAAACCTGGAAATGTGTTGACTTATTGATTAAGAAGAAGAAGTATGGAAACGTTCACCAGCTGCTGCGGCTGATCGAATGAACGCCTGTTAATCGATCGTTATCAGCTGGCTCCACCACGGCGAGCTAATGCAGAGCGTCCCATCAACGCTGGAGGCCTCCCAGGGGATTATGGGACTGGAAAGGTCCTGGAAAGGTCCTGGAAAGGTCCTGGAAATGGATGAATGTGTTAAAAAGAGCGGGAACCCTGACCTTCCTCGGATTGAAGCCCATGTTTCCGTCGTCGTCTGGCCACAGTTTGGAGCGTTTGTGTCTCCGTGTTGAAGGGGGACGGAGTTAGACGAAGGTGTTTTGAGGCGGTGCTGTTGCATTGAGTCGTTTAAGGTTCACAGCAAACAGTGACGTTGCTGTATTTTGGTTTTATTGATACGTATCGGAGGTGATCGGCGGACTGAGGAGGGTTAATAAACGTCCTGACCTGCAGAGTATTGGTAAAGACTTGAACCATTAACCCCGGACACAGTCGCTCCTAAAGTTAGGAGACGCAGTTTAAAGGATAATTCTGCTTTATTACAACAGCTGGAGCTTAAAGGTTAATTGGTAATACATTTGTCGTGTTTTTAGGTCATTTTTCAGGCAACGTTGCCTCTAATGTGAAGATTTACTGGCTTTATTTTGTCTGATGGGATCATAAATTGATCATCTTCATGTTTCAGACGCTCGGTTGGAAGAAAATCTGAAGACATCAGGAAGGATCAGTCGATTTACATCAAGAAAATAATGATCAGCTCAATCAATAAAGTAGTAATAACAGATGGCAGAGGTCTGGGAACACAGTGACATTAAAAACTAGTTCTTCTTCTAGAGTTTCTGTCTCGTGTTGTGTGTTTGATTCGTGCACCGCTCCCTCTCACTGTCTATCTGCTGTCATTGATTAGAAACCGGCTTTATAGGTTGGAGTAACTCTATCTGTCTGCAGCAGCGTTCAAGTCTCTACATGTTGATTTATGTTAAATAACTGAAACCAGCGGCTGCCTGGAAGGTGCAAATCAAACTGAAAACAGCTCGCGTGAAAGTAGAAGACCAGCAGTTAATATAAAGGTATCAATACAGTGCATTGATCCGTGATTTGGAAAATAATGGAGGCACGTTGTGTGTGACTGTATGGAGCTCCACAACATTGTTCTGTTAGCTCTGTGAATATAGTTTGTGTTTATATCTTTAAATAATAAAGAGTCACAGAAATGAATGAAATGCTGAGATATAGGCCGACTGCGTACGCTTTTTAAACATTTCCTACAATCCTTTTAATCCTTTTAATCCATTTATTAAGAATAAATTCCAAACGTTGTCTGATTCCAGCTCCTCAGATGTGAAGATTTGCTGTTTTTCTCTGTGTTTTGTGATTATTAATGGGAAGATTTAGTTGTTTTGGACTGTTGGTCGAACAAAAGAAAACATTTTTTGAGTCAGAGCTGACGATTAATCACCAGATGAACCAGGCCCTACATTCATCAGCTTGTGTTTTATATTAATATTGATAATAATTGTTCTTTAAACAGTTTTTCTTTGCCTGGATTTGATCTGTGAGTCTACGCTCGTAGGACTCGTGTGAATGTAGAAATATATTAAGAATACAACGCAAAGGACACTGGGATCAAACCATTTCGTCCCGTTCGTGTTTAACAGATACGAGTCGGAGCGAACCGCCCTCGTCTGTGATCTTCTCGGGGACGATCGCAACCAAATTTGGCAGCAAAACTAATCAGTTTCATCACTCCCGACAGCCGCTCGCTCGCTCAGTACCACAAAGCCGTGAAATTGTGAGACCCGTCAGTATCGGCTCCTGTCGTTGTAACAACTGCCGCTGACCCCCCCGAACAAGAGCCGCTCAGAAGAGTCATTTCAGTCCTCATCTGAGCGCTGTAATACGACATCAGCAGATACTCCGCAGGAGAGTTAATTACACTTACACCCTGCCACTGAACTCGCACCATATTTTCAGCTGTCAGACATCCGAATTACTTTCTCTAATTCAACCGTGGAGGGAAACACTCACACATTGGATCGGACACGGCCTCGGCAGATATAACTCTGTGTTATAAAGCGGATCCGTCCCTGTAAAGAAGTTAATAACATCATCGTCACCCCGGAAAAAGTGATGCAAAACAGCTCGTGTGTCATCGTGGACGAATGGTGTTAGTGTGGAGCTCCAGATAGAAGAGAGAGTCCTGTTTTACCCCCTTTGTCCCTGTTTATAGCTGTGTTGGCTCAGTATTTTGGTTTAAACACATTTCACTAAAAGCTAATAACGTAAATGTTGATCCCTTTTTATCCCCGACCTCGGGCTCGGGCTCCGGCCAGGACGCTCCGCCAGAGAGAGTAAAGGTTGAGGCTGAGCAGACGCTGTGTGGTTGCATTAATTAACGTGACCATAAACTACTGATTCACTTCAGATAACCTTTTTATTTAAATCCAACCGTGCACAGAAGACCTCAGAACATGGACAGTTTGTTTTATTTCTATCTGATATATTTCAGTTTCCCACATGTGATCAGAGGAAACTGAATTCCTCTACAAGACATTTAATATGGTTGCTGTCGCTGTCTGGTTACTGTTTTCTTTACACTGTGGTTCGCTGAAGACGTTCAACCGCCCGACAAACACACACATACGTTTGCTTTTTGGAGAAGCTACAGCATTTAAAACCCTCCATTAATATTAAACTGAGTCTTTACAGTTTATATCAGCAGCCACGTGACAGTCGGATTATTAATCCTTGGAGAAGTGGATCAGGTTTACATGAAGGATGGCTCCATACAGATACCGTCCTTTTCCCCCTCTAATAAACAACTAAAAACCATCATGATCCAACTGTGAATGAACAATAAAGCTGCACAATATAGAAGAAACATCCTATTGTGATTATTCTTACAGATTCTAATTAAAACGTGAATAATAACTATTATAAATCCTGATGATGTACAAAGCATCAGCTTTATAATAACGCTGCTGTGGCACATTTTGCCTTTATCAAACAGCTGCAGCTGATTTGGTTTTTACCGTATTGCAAGTTCAACAGTATTTTGATGAGGTGTGAAAAAGCTCGGGAACCGAAACTGCTTCTTTTTTTCTTCAAACGTTGTTCACACAGAAGTTTAAGCAGCTTTTTGTGATTGTTCAGCAGCGTTGACAATGAAATAAATCGCCCTCAGCTGTTCCTCGAGATTAAGTTTCATGTTCTGGTTACAGCTGTGTACAAAAGTTTAGTTTCTTTTTTTATTGAAAAGATGTAAATTAATTTATTGTCAATGTCTTTAATTAAAACGAATCAATAAAATATGTTATAATATACTTTTTACTGTACTGTGAATGTGACACATGCTGCTCATCTGTGTCTCTTTATGGACACGTCGCTCAAATATCAGTTATAATTTATGTCCTTTAGCCTAATGGATCGTATTGATTATATGTTTTTCCCTCTGATATTTGGTTGTGATTTAAAATCTAGCTCACCTGGTGGAGCGTTCGCCCGGCCGCCGGGGTTCAGCTCCTGTCGTTCTTCAGCTGTCGTATTAAAAAAAGACAAAAATAGAGTTATCCTACTGTTCAGCAGATTTTTCTGCTTCATTAACAAACGATTTCTTCCTGTTTTTGTCTCCAGGTTTATGGCCACTAACGACCTGATGACGGAGCTACAAAAAGATTCAATCAAACTGGACGACGACAGCGAGAGGAAGGTGCGTCTGCGCTGCTTCACCAACGAGTTCGAGTCTAGTTTATAGCTGTTGGTATCGAGCTCACTCGTCCAGACTACTTCTCCAGTCATGGAAACACCTGGAAATTGATTAAAATGACCAAATATCCTGAAAATAATCTGTGTTGATGATTGATTGATTGATTGATTGATTGATTGATTGATTGGCAGGTGGTGAGGATGATTCTCAAACTGTTGGAAGACAAGAACGGAGAAGTTCAGAATCTGGCCGTCAAATGGTAAAAACACCGTTCTTTACTCCTCTTTGGTCGAGTTATTGTACTGTGTGTGTGTGTGTGTGTGTGTGTGTGTGTGTGTGTGTTTAACTGTGGGGTGCGTTTGTTCCTCCAGCCTGGGGCCCCTCGTCAGTAAGGTGAAGGAGTACCAGGTGGAGACGATCGTGGACACTCTGTGCACCAACATGCTGTCGGACAAAGAGCAACTCAGAGACATTTCCTCCATCGGACTCAAAACTGTGATCGGAGAGTTACCGCCCGCCTCCAGTGGTAAAAACACAACCAATACTATGACAACTACTACTAATACCACCCGTCTCTAGTGGTATTGATGTTTTACTGCCCATACAAGTGTAATAAGTTGCACTGATTCCATTACAGTCTTATTACTCGTACTTTACCGATGCTGCCGCCCTGTGTGACGCTGCTGTCTAACTGTCTCCCCGTCTGTGTGTCTCAGGCTCTGCTCTAGCTGCAAGCGTTTGTAAGAAGATAACGGGTCGCCTGACGAGTGCCATCGCCAAACAGGAAGACGTGTCTGTCCAGCTGGAGGCGCTCGACATCATGGCTGACATGCTCTGCAGGTACGCTACCTGTCTACCTGCCCATCTCGTCTGTGTAAACCGTGAATACATAACTCTCATTTATACTATCCCAGCAAACAACGTCATCAGGATATGTGCTGAACAGCTTCTATTAGTGCTCTCAAAGATGTGTTTATGTCCCCCAAAACATCCAACCTCGACTTTACTGACTTTAATGTAGAAAGAGGTTTTCTCTTGTACGTTTCTCTACAATCTGAGATTCAAACGTACGCTGGGAAACCGGAGCTTCCTTCCACTCTCTACTACGTAATAACAATGTGAGAATGTGAACATCGGAGCAGATATTAAAAGCCTTTTGTGCTGCGTTCCTGGTGCTATCTGACTGCACGGCATTAGAAAGGCTGGCTGTAATCTTGTGTGGAATAAAATAAACAGTTAACTGTCTGCCTGTCTGTCTCTCTGCAGACAAGGAGGTCTGTTGGTGAACTTCCATCCCTCCATCCTCAGCTGTCTCCTTCCTCAGCTCACCTCCCCCAGACTGGCTGTCAGAAAGGTGCGTCCGACCTTTCATACGTTCATTAAGGAGCCGGTGTACATTGGTCCTGTATCCACTGACTGGCTGTTGTGTCGTTATAACCTGACTGTTTCAGAGGACCATCATGGCTCTGGGTCACTTGGTTATGTCCTGCGGGAATCTGGTCTTCATCGATTTGATCGAGCACCTTCTGACGGAGCTGGGGAGGAACGACAACATGTCGACCACCAGAACCTACATACAGTGCACGGCCGCCATCAGCAGACAGGCCGGACACAGGATCGGTGAGACAGACCGCCGCCAAAATAAAAGTGTCATTGTGGGTTTTTTAAAATGCTTTTGAGCAGCCGACTCAGAAATGAACAAACTGTCCTCGCTGTGTGTTCAGGAGAGTATCTGGAGAAGATCATTCCTCTGGTGGTGAAGTTTTGTAACGTTGACGACGACGAGCTCAGAGAGTACTGCATCCAGGCCTTCGAGTCCTTCGTCAGGAGGTAATTCACACATCGACCCCGCCGACGTATCGCCGCTGTTGTTGCTCTCGCTTCACTTTCACACTGTCGTTCCAGGTGTCCTAAAGAAGTTTACCCCCACGTCCCCACGGTCATCTCAATCTGCCTGCGCTACTTGACCTACGACCCCAACTACAACTTTGACGATGAGGACGAGGACGACAACGCCATGGACGCTGAGCAGAACGATGAAGACTACCAAGGTACTGAATTATAAGTCAGTATAAGTTATCGAACTGTAGGTAACTGTCGTTCCTTCAGTTGAAACATTTAAAATATGAATATTGAATATACGATGTGACTGATGGAACATATAGTGTCATTATATTCTTTTTAACCATCTCAGGTGCCCCTGCAGTACTCCAAAGTCCCCCTAGGGGTACACGAGAAACCCAGAGTTACAGTTTTAGAGAGAAAGAAGCTTCTTCTAGTCACTTATCAGGACAACATGTATAACCCGATGAAACAGCTTTAAACGCGAGATATTAAAGATACTAAAGATTTTACTAGTCGTCACACGTTTATGATATTAGTTTATTTAAATATCTATATTTTATCAGCTGCCTGTTAAACGCTAACAGAAACAGCAGTAATGATTCTGAATGTGTCTTCAAAGAGACTTTATTTAGTTCAACATCAACACTTCAAAACTCAGAATAAATAACTTCCAACTTCACTGAAACAAATCCTGATGGACTGATCGATACGATGGATAAGGTCAACAGTTACTCAGAGTCAGGCATCGACGTCTTCAGGTTATTAATTAGCTAGTTGGAGAAGTTATTGATGAAGATAACTGGCTCATTCTCAGTGTGTTGGTTGATGTTAGTTTAGCATAAATACAGAAGAATACAGTCGAAACTCTTCACAGGCTCCAATTTAACTTTAACCCCCGATGGCAGCAGTGTGGCTAACAGCAGCCGCTCTTTGTGTCTGTCCAGGCAGCGACGATGAGTACAGTGACGACGACGACATGAGCTGGAAGGTCCGCCGGGCGGCCGCCAAGTGTTTGGACGCCGTCGTCTCAACTCGTCACGAGATGCTGCCAGAGTTTTATCGCTCCGTCTCTCCTGCACTCGTCTGTCGCTTCAAGGTACGGTCAGCTGTCGCTTCGCTGCTCTTCCTCACCTCCTCACTGTGACGCTTCATCTCCTCGTCACTGAGACCTGATGGTTAACTCGCTCTGACGGCGTCAACCGCAGGAGGATCCTAAAGTATCCTCGCTGTAGCTGGAGGAATATGACCAGGCTTTATCAGCTGATTGGTTTTAGATCAATGAAACGAACCCATTTCCTCCTGATATTACAGTGATCTATATCTGGATCCAGATAATAAACAATCCCATCTTGCTTTTGCAATTATGCCTGGTATTTCTAATTTTCGATCTCCTCATTGAGATCAATGAGAAACCTGAGCGTGAGTAATTATGTGAGTCAGCACCAGACTCCCTTTAAAAAATCACCAAGTTTAGTGAGTTCTTGATTTAGATCAAACTTTATAAACTTTGTGAAAAGCCGTCTGACAGATTCTTAATTATTTTCCTCGTCTTGTAAATTCTGCAAATGTTAAAAGTATATTCCTTTCTTTGTGTAAAAGATATTGTGAGTTTGTTCCAGCGTGTAGGCGACTGTGTGACTAGAACAGACGTTTAATCAGTAATTAGAGACGTTTCTCTTTCAACCTTTGCTCTCTAAGATCTCTAAACAACCCATATTTTATGTTGGTTTAAAACAAATATTGGTTATTTGTTGTGTACGGATCGGACTCTAATCTCCACCTCTTGGTTAAAGTGAATTCTACCTATTGATCGGACTAATCCGACTGCTGTTGATTGCAATAAATGGCTAACAAAGATAATCCCTATCCTTACTAATCCCAGCCTATTGACCCGATGTATGTAATCCATACTCGTTAATCTCCCCGGACCTTCCCGTCTGTCTGCAGGAGAGGGAGGAGAACGTGAAGGCGGATGTTTTCCATGCCTACCTGTCGCTGCTTAAACAGACCAGACCGGCTCAGAGCTGGTTGGCTGATCCAGACGCCATGGAGCAGGGAGAGACGCCACTAACCATGCTGCAGAGCCAGGTAACCTGATGAATCAGGATCTGTTTGTGTTCACGAGGCAGGATGAGTTATTATTAGAGGACGTCTGTTGGATGTTCCTGATACTGTTCCCTTATGCATATAAAACAACCAGTTTTCATCCTTCTAAAGAGAGAGAATAAGAATTGTAAACAAAACAACTGACAAACACTCCTTGTTTATTAAATTAAAGAGTAAAATTTTGAGATTTGGTCGACATTAAACCGACTCAGATCACATATAGAGTCAGTGTGCTTAGTAAATGTATTAAAAACACATACAATTACTATTTAATAAATATAACTTAACTTTGATTTGTTTCCAGCTGTTTCTCTTTGTTTTCTGTCATCGTAAATTAAATATCTTTGTTTTCTTTACTGTTGCTCACGTTAAACTTTTAGGACATGTAATGGACAGTTTTTAGTAATTTAAAACATATTATAATCTAAATGATTAATGGAAAGTAATTAATAATTAAAATTGTTAGTAAAATGCATCACTTTATGTGCTGGAAGATGTTTCTTTATTAGAGAGCTGAAACAATATGTTTATTAATCAACAACTTCAATGACAAAAATCCCTGATAGTTGCTTCGTGAGTGTGAATATTTGCAGATTTTCTCTCTTTTGTGTGACAGTAAACTGAATATTTTTGGATTTTGGACATTTAAACATCTCTACTTTGATTTGGGAAGATTAGATTGAACTATTTTGATGCCTTATAGACCAAACAATGAATTTAAAATAATAGTTACAGCCTTAAGTCATATTTTATGAGTTGGCTCAAATACTGTAATGATCCATAAATAATCCTCAGTGGTTGCAGTTTTGTGTTCGTGCAGCAGATGTCTCTGTTGGAGCTTTAATCTGGTTTCATTCTGTAGTCACTAACAGGAAACCCTCAGCATCCTGCACCGCCGACCACAGAAAACAGGAAGCAGTTGTGGTGGTCTTTTTATTTCTCTCACGCTCTCTCTCTCTCTCTCTGTTAATGTCTCTCGCCCCCTGCAGGTTCCCATGATAGTCAAAGCTCTTCACAAGCAGCTGAAGGAGAAAAGTGTCAAAACCCGTCAGTGTTGTTTCAACATGTTGACTGAGCTGGTGAACGTCCTCCCCGGAGCCCTGACTCAGCACATCCCAGTACTAATACCAGGTGATACTACACCACCTATTACTGTTATTACTCCTGTTATTACTCCTGTTATTACTCCTGTTATTACTCCTGCTGCTTCCCTACTCTGTCTGTGGCTCTCAGCTCCAGCTAAGTTTAATTTAAGTGACAGAAGTTTGTCTAGAGTTGTTGTCTTCACCACCATTGGCGTCATTGCAGTCAGCTTCTCCCGGTTAGGATTCCTTCAGTGTTCATGGTTCAGGAGGTTTCTACCGGGAGCCCAATGATCCACAGAGGTCTCCTCCTCTCCAACACAAACAGACCCGCTGATTAAAACCACTAAACACACTGAATAAAGCAGTTCCACCTTAAACACACTGAATAAAGCAGTTCCACCTTAACCACCAGTCTCATTATTAATATCTGTGTTCTTCAGGTATCATCTTCTCTCTCAACGATAAGTCGAGCAGCTCCAACCTCAAAATCGACGCCTTGGCCTGTCTCCACGTCATCATGGTCACGCACCCCGCTCACGCCTTCCACGCCCACGTCCCCGCCCTCGTCCCGCCCGTGGTGGCGTGCGTCGGAGACCCCTTTTACAAGATCACCTCCGAGGCTCTGCTCGTCACGCAGCAGCTCGTCAAGGTGGGAGTCGGGGCAACCCGCCGCCTCGCCGTTAACCTCTCCGACCTCTGGCGTCGCATGACGAGTTGATTCTTACGGTTTCTCTCCTCGCAGGTGATCCGACCTCTGGACAACCAATCAGAGGCCTCAGACAGCTTCGACCCCTCCCCCTACATCAACGACCTGTTCACCTGTACAATCAAACGCCTGAAAGCCGCCGACATCGACCAGGAGGTCAAAGAGCGTGCCATCTCCTGTATGGGGCAGATCATCTGTAACCTAGGTAACCACCGTCTGTCAGTCGCAGGGGTGTGATGTCAGCCGTGATGCTGCTTCCTGTTTGGTTTTCCTCGCCGGGTTTTGTCGTTTAATGGTTCCCGTCTGGTTGTGTAGGTGACCGGCTGCCTACCGAACTTCCTGGAACGCTGCTGATCTTCTTGGAGCGCCTCAAGAACGAGATCACCAGACTGACGACAGTGAAAGGTAAGCCCCGCCCACCACCGCCGGAGAACGCCACAGGACGTCACAGCGTGCTCCGTCCGCTGCAGTGACACCAGTTCGTTAATACAGGAGTTACTTTCTGCCTTTTATAGCAGTTTTCATATCAGATAACATTTATACACTGATTCTGAACTCCATATCCCAGCATGCATTTCCATCTGACTCACAGCTGTAATTGTGTCACCACCTGACTGAGGTTCTGATTGGTTGTCTCTCCGGCAGCTCTGACGCTGATCGCCGGCTCTCCGCTGAAAATCGATCTGAGGCCGGTTCTCCCCGACGCCGTTCCCATCCTCGCCTCCTTCCTCCGCAAGAACCAGCGAGCTCTGAAGCTCTGCACGCTCGCCGCTCTGGACATCCTGCTCAGAAACTACAGGTAACACACCTGCCGGGCCACGCCCACACAGCCGTGAGCTCCTCCCACCTCCTTCCTGTCGGTAACACTCCCTGAACGTGTGCGTTTCAGCTCTGCGGTGACTCCCGTCATGGTGGACGCGGTCCTCGCCGAGCTGCCTCCTCTCATCTCAGAGAGCGACATGCACGTGTCTCAGATGGCGCTCAGCTTCCTGTCCACGCTGGCCGTGACTCACCCGTCCTCGCTGGGTCAGCTGAGCAGCGGGAACATCCTCCAGCAGCTCATCGCGCTGGTTCGATCCCCGCTGCTGCAGGGCGGAGCGCTCGCCGCCATGCTGGACTTCTACCAGGTAGAACAGGAACACTTTATTTACTTTTTAAATTCACTTTTTATTGTGTCGTAACAGGAAATAATAAAGCTGAGTAACGAACGATAAACACAGAAGCTTAATAAGGATAAAATAGATCAAAAATACTAACAAAATAAAATGCTTAATAAAAAATACTAGAAATAAAATCATTAACAAAAAATACTGACAAAATAAAAAATACTAACAAAATAAAATGCTTAACAAAAAAATTAACAAAATAAAATGATTAACAAAAAATACTAACAAAATAAAATGCTTAATAAAAATTTTAACAAAATAAAATGATTAACAAAAAATACTAACAAAATAAAATGCTTAATAAAAATATTTAAAAAATTAAATGCTTAATAAAAAATACTTACAAAATAAAAATAATACTAACAAAATAAAATGCTTAATAAAGAATATTAACAAAATAAAATTGCTTAATAAAAAATACTAACAAAAAAAAAATATTAACAAAATAAAATGTTTTATAAAAAATACTAGAAATAAAATCATTAACAAAAAATACTAACAAAATAAAATAATACTAACAAAATAAAATGTTTTATAAAAATATTAACAAAATAAAATGTTTTATAAAAATATTAACAAAATAAGAAAATGCTTACAAAAAAAATACTAACAAAAAAAATAATACTAACAAAATAAAATGTTTTATAAAAAATACTAGAAATAAAATCATTAACAAAAAAATACTAACAAAATAAAATGCTTAATAAAAATATTAACAAAATAAAATGATTAACAAAAAATACTAACAAAATAAAATAATACTAACAAAATAAAATGCTCAATAAAAAAATCAATGCTTAAATATGTGTGGATTGATATTTGAAGGTATTTATCTGTGTGTTCAGGCGTTAGTGGCTACAGAGACTCCCGGTCTGGGTTACATGGACCTGCTGAGGATGCTGACCGGTCCAGTTTACTCCCAGAGTGCCGCTCTGCCTCACAAACAGGCCTACTGCTCCATCGCTAAATGCGTCGCCGCTCTGACCCGAGCCTGCCCCACAGAGGGACCCGCCGTGGTCGGACAGTTCATCCAGGTAAACTACCTGTCTGTCTGCCTGTCTGACCTGCAGATAATGTGTGGTTCACATCGTGGAGGAGGTTTAAAGAAAGTTATTTGTTCCCGCGCTGACAGGACGTGAAGAACAGCCGCTCCACAGACTCCATCAGACTGCTCGCTCTGCTCTCATTGGGCGAGGTGGGACACCATGTGGACCTGAGCAGCCAACCAGAGCTCAAGACCGTCATCCTGGACGCGTTCTCCTCCTCCAGTGAAGAGGTAACGCCTGTCTGTCTGACCAGGAAGTGCCTTTTAGGATTCCACATTAAGAGTTTTTAACATGTGACAGCTCTGTGAGACTGATTTGAGCTAAATGTCGGCGTGCTAACAGGCTGATGTTTAACACGTTAGTCGTCCAGATGTTGTGTCTTTCTGCTCATATTTCAGTATAAATTAGCGAGTAGAGCTGAAACCATCAGTTAGATAATAAATTAATTGATCTGCAGAAAATGAAAAGGCAAACATTTTGACAGTCTGACAGCAAAAATGTTGAAATATTCTCTGGTTACTTTTCTTTATCTTCTGTGATGAAACTGAATATGTTTGTTCATAAAATGACTAAACAATTTATGGATTAATAATAAATGAATTGATTAATTTAGATTAAACAAATATTGGTTATTTGTTGTGTACGGATCGGACTCTTTAGATTAATTGATAATGAAATCATTAAACTTTTTTAAATGTTTGTTTTTGTTTTCTGTTCAGTGCAAGAATTCTTGTTTTTGAGGAGTTTCCTACCAACTGTAATCTTTACCGAGCTATTGCTCAGCCTCTCTATTTACTCGGGTCGATCAATAAGTTCTCTTTTCTGACTGCCAAGACAGAAAAAAACCTCTTCAGGCTGCTGGAAACAGTCTTTATGTGTGCGGTCTTCTGTAGGTGTCGTCTAGTCTTCATGACTCCAGCTTCATCCCAACAAGCTGTTAACCAAAGTCTAATTCAGTAAGGTGTTAGTAGATATTGATCTGTCTGTCTCTCTCTTCCCGTCTGTCTCTCTCTCTCTACCCGTCTGTCTCTCAGGTGAAGTCGGCAGCCTCCTATGCGTTGGGCAGTATTGCGGTGGGGAATCTTCCGGAGTATCTGCCCTTCGTCCTGCAGGAGATCTCCTCCTCCAAGAGACAGTACCTGCTGCTGCACTCGCTCAAAGAGATCATCAGTAAGAAGAACTCTGTCTGTCTGCCTGCCTGTCTGTCTGTCTGTCTGTCTGTCTGTTCTGCCTGCTTTGGTTTTAATCTGTGTGTCCGTGTTGAGGTTCGGCGTCGGTGTCCGGTCTGAAGCCGTACGTGGAGTCGGTTTGGTCTCTGCTGCTCAAACACTGCGAGTGTCAGGAGGAAGGAACCAGGAACGTGGTGGCCGAGTGTTTGGGCAAACTGACGCTGATCGACCCCGAAACCCTGCTGCCCCGCCTCAAAGGATACCTGCTGTCAGGTAATCAATACTCCGATCAGTAACCAATAAACCCTGCTGCCCCACCACAAAGAATGCCTGTTAATCATCTGATCAATAGGCAGTGAAATTAATCATCTGATCAATAACCAAGGAACCCTATTGTCACACCTCAAAGTATACCTGCGGTTAGGTAATCAATATTCTGATAAATAAGCAGTTAATTGATCTTTATATTGTCAAAGTAATTTGATTGATCGAGAAAGATTAAGTTCAGATTTTCAGTGTATTGATTTGATCAGGTAATGAATGAATAATCAATAAATACGTGTGTATAGTATCTGTTGTCAGATAATCAATAAGATTGATTTGTCAGCTGATCAACCTTAAAGCCAATATATGAGCTGATCGATCAATAATTGTAATATTCTGTTAAAAGGACATATTGATTGTTAAATTGTACAGAGAAACTTTATTAGTGACGAAATAAAAACAACCAATCAGAACATAGAACATGATGATTAGCCCCGCCCCCTCTCCTCCTCTCAGCCAATCAAACTGCTTCTTTCTCCTCCGACTGTATCTCATATATATATAGATTAAAATCTATGAATTAATCAATACATTGAGATGGATTTCTGCTGGATGTGAAGCAGCCACGTGATGACTGATGTGTAATATTGATCTATTGATTATTGATCTGTGTTTCTGTGTGTTTCTGTAGGTTCGTCGTACGCCAGGAGCTCCGTGGTAACGGCGGTAAAGTTCACCATCTCTGACCAACCGCAGCCCATCGACCCGCTGCTGAAGAACTGCATAGGTAAAAATATCGATTA